GTTTAACATGAAAGTTCATCTATGTCTGATTATGTGTACCTGTTTAACATGAAAGTTCATGTATGTCTGATTATGTGTACCTGTTTAACATGAAAGTACATGTATGTCTGATTATGTGTAACTGTTTAACATGAAAGTTCATGTGTCTGAATATGTATACCTCTTTAACATGAAAGTTCATGTATTTCTGATTATGTGTACCTGTTTAACATGAAAGTTCATGTATGTCTGATTATTTGTACCATCTTAACATGAAAGTACATGTATGTCTGATTATGTGTACCTGTTTAAAATGAAAGTTCATGTATGTCTGATTATGTGTACCTTCTTAACATGAAAGTTCATGTATGTCTGATTATGTGTACCTGTTTAGTAGTAAAATCTAGTCGAGCTCTTCGTTTACCGGCGTTAACTTGGAGCGCTGTACGCGTTTCTCGTCCAATAGGAGTTGAGGCTGATGTTGTCGATTTCAGAATTAGACGCATCTCGAGCTTCGTACTTGGTCCGTTTGAGAGAAACTCCTTCTATAAAAGATAACGTATGTAGAAATGATTTCTCAGTTTACGTGAACAAATTGTGGTAAGTTTTATTAACCCTGGACAAACAATATTCAATAGTTGTAAGTTGTATAATCCAATTATTGTTTGTACAGACGAGAGTAAGAATTGTTAAAGGGGTCATGGCTGAGATAGCGGGGGTTTGGAGATGTAAAGACATTAATACAAACTTGACAAGCTGTGAATACGAAGATAACAAAACTAACGAGACTACAATCTTACCCGATTACTTGACCTTTAATGAAGAAAGTATGAGGGAAATAGCTGTGTATAGTATACTGTTTGTCATAGCCGCGACCGGTAACCTCCCGGTCTTTATCAGCTTGCTCAGGAATCGCCAGCGAAAATCTCCCGTCAAACTAATGATGTTAAACTTGGCTGTTGCGGATCTTATTGTTACGTTTGTGATGATCCCCCTCGAAATTTCCTGGCGTATCACAGTCGAATGGATCGCAGGAACTCTGATCTGTAAGATTATGCTTTTCCTTCGAGCGTTTGGACCTTATCTGTCATCCATGATACTTGTCTGCATCAGCTTGGACAGATATTTCGCCATTGTCCATCCTCTGAAACTTAACGACGCCAAGCGGAGAAGCAAGGTAATGCTAGCGTGTGCTTGGCTTACGAGCCTCATCTGTGCTGCACCTCAGGTGAGTTTTATATTAAGAACCGAGTGATTTAGATAAACCATATGTTGAATAAAATGAAAACTCCACCATGATCAGTGCACATTACACCCTTGAGATTATGAACGAATCACCTTATAGCGTAGAGAGGATTTCTTCTTAACGTTTCGTTGAAACAGCGTAAAAACTGTTCAAGTAGTCGTTATTAAAGTGAGGATAATGATGTGTAGCAAGTTTAATCCACCTTACAAAATGGCAAAGTAGGTTTTAGATCAGTCACTTCCGGTTGTAGTCGGTTTGTCTGCTCTTCCGGTTAGGGTGGGGAAAATGATGTGTAGCAAGTTTAATCCACCTTACAAAATGGCAAAGTAGGTTTTTAGATCAGCCACTTCCGGTTGTAGTCGGTTTGTCTGCTCTTCCGGTTAGGTGGG